CACATAGAGACAAACGAGACAAACAACCATTCACTCTCTCACTCACACCTAGGGACAATTTAGAGTTATCAATTAACCTAACAGTCATGTTTTTGGTGTGTGGGAGGAAGCCGGATGTTGTGAAATGTTTATCAAATAAAGTTTAATGTTACAACTAATCGTGGATCCCTTTAAGGTTTTTGTTTCTTGATACTCTTATTTGTGTAGAATAAACCTTTAAACATGTAATTAATTTAGGGCACACTCAAAGCCACAAATTTAAAATAATTTTATCTACAATTTAAATTTTTATTCGCACTTTGCACATCAGTGACTATAATGACTAGAAAATCAATTCAATTTTATTTTGTGAAAAAGTAACATAATCGCCCATCGATTCCACTGAAATTCCCATTGAACTAAAGTTTAAGACATTTTACTAAACCAATTCAGGTGAAATCAGTTCAACTTATATTTTCATTAGATTTGACTCAATTGAATTAGCTTTTATTTAATCCAATTCAAGCCAATTAAAGTTGTTCCTATTCAGTCCATTTTATAAAGTTATTTTTATTTTGACATATTAAACCCCAAGGTGTTTATGCTCAATAACATGTCAGTATGTAATTAATTACATTATAGTGTACATAAACCTTTTAAAAATATAATAAATAAGGTTAAAAAACTCATGGGAACCATAAACCCAGCTGTAGAAAAGTAGATAAAACATTAGTACTGTGGATGTGGGGCTGAGATGATCATCTTATTAGGTTGGATTTGATTGATGTAGTTCAGTACAATTCATTTGAATATTTGATTCCATTTGACTCAAATACATTTAATTCAGTTTGGTTTATTTCAGTTCAGTAAAACCCTGTTCAGTTCAACGTTTTTTTCTCCAAATAGCCGATTTACAACAGATGTTATCTCTGAAAAGCAAACTGCTCCAATTTAAATTCAAGTTTAATAAACTTCAGATTGTATATTTTAAAAAATAAACTTGTTGAGCTCTAAAATACTGATTTTTTACAAACTCAAAGATTAACTTAAATTTCATCAGGTATGACTACAATACTGTAATTAGGCTTCAATTGATTTTGAATTCATATTTTAAATGGGGAATATCATGTAAAATCAATTTTTTTGAGTTTTATATCATGTTATAATATTATGCTATCATAAAAAAGATGCCCAAAGCTTTGCTCTGACTCATTCATGCATGTTTGAGAAATCCTGGAGCGTTTTTAGGAAGCCATGCTGAGGAGCAAAATGACAGGTGGGGACCAGAAACGCCCCTGGGAGGTTTCTTTAAGCTGAACTTCCTCATCATGGAGCACACCTCCCTACCCCCACCCCACACACCCCGCCCATGACTCCTGCAGACTCTCGGGTGAAAGTGAAAGTGAAACTTAACTGTCTGCTGAGCTCTCAATATTAGTTCTCACTCAGTGAAGCTCTTTTCAGATTCAAAATATGTTTGAGGAAATGTATTTTCAGACGGCAAGTAAACTGCATCATAGCACACACGCGACCCCCCCCCCCACCCACTGCACTGAAATGGATGGGACAGAAGCAGAAGGAGGTTCTTGAATAGACAGAAGCCAATTTTAACACGTTTAGAAAAGGAAGTGATGAGAAGATAAGTTTATTTTCTATTTAAACATAAAAACAGCATTTTAATAACAGCTAAATGTGACATAGATACTTTATTATGTATGGTATATTATTTAAATGTATGCCTGGGAAATGCATAATATTGGCTCTTTAATACATTTTTCAAAATCCTTTTTAAAGGGATGGAGTATTGTGTAAGCTTAGATTTTTTTAAATTTCCTTCAGAAACAGCAGAACATAAATGAGTAAATCCTAAAATGCATGTCATGGTGAGAATTAACACACAGTTCTAGTAAAAGTAGCCTGAGTCCAGCAGCAGAGTTGGGCGGACCCACCTCTCTGTAGGCCCACTGGCCCTGTGTGTGGACGGTGCGGTGGCACTCCGTGTACTGGCTCGCAGACTCGGGCTCAGACGAGTGCCTCTGGAAGGAGCAGCCGAACTGGAGGCCCTTGTCCTGCGTCGGCACGGCTATGCTGAGGCCCGGGAAGCCCTCAGGGTCCAGGTCGGCCTGCACGCTCGCCGTCACGCTGTTGGAACGTTTGAATCGAGCACGCCTACGAAACAAAATAGAAAGTCACGACAAGTCACACACCACACACACACACACATACACACACCTTTCTCTGTATTTATTTATTTTTTTCTTCATCTCATAATGGCGCACTCTAATCGGAGCCGGACTGCGCTGTCGCGGCCATCCCCGCTGCTCGCTTGGTTGTGATAAGTCCCGCTAAATCCTCTGGCATATGACGCATCGGTGTGTGCAAATGTCATGGCGGCGTGCTCGCTGATGAGTGTTTACCCCGTTGCAAGTTAATCCCTCATCTGTCTTTTCCCGTCTGAGGAAGTCGGACTCATATTTGTGTTATTGGCCTCCTGTTTTCATTTTTTTTTATAAATCTTTTCTGGTGATTGGAGGAGATGGTGTAGAAGAGCGTGATCACTGCTGCGATGATGCGAGTGTCCCCATGCATGCGTGCAAATCTGCCCCACAAGCAAGACTGCATATAATTAGGGAGAAGCGCTGAGTCATGTATGAAAGTCACGCGGAGTGTATGATTTGCAGTAGTCATGGTTACGCTCGCAAACGGACAGACATTCTTTGGGGTAAAAGAAAAGTCTTTCTGGGCTCAAGCTGTGATGCCTGATGAAATGTTAAATCAGTTAATAGGACTGAGACTACAAATCAGCCGTGCGTGGCAGCTCTGCTGGGCGCACAGGAAGATGAAGGCCTTTTCTGAATATAAATTCAAATTATTCACATAAATTACTGCGAGAAGACCAGTGGTCCTTGATGAAGACACGTAGGTGGGGTGGGGAGGGAAGATAAATTAGGCAAGTAAACAAACACCGCTTTTAGTTTGCAATTTGAGTCCATAATAAACAGGAACTTAAATGTCAAGCAAAACAAGTCAAGCTGAGGAGAAGTAGTGAAGATGAATACATGTTTATAATTTCAATTTTTCCTTTACCTTTTCTCATCTTCCACTTGGATTCCCACAGAGTGCACCTCAGTGAGGGCCTTTCCCTCTGCGTCTGAGTCAGACAGTGTCTCTGAGCTGTCCACCTGCAACAGAAGGCAGAAAAAAAGAGTTTTAGAACCAAGAGGGAAGTCGTGCATCATTTTGTCTATAAATGGAGGATAGGCTTTCTGCTGTTTATATTGCTTAAAAGCATAGTTTCCACAAATGATTTATTGTTCCTTCGATTCTATATTTGGGCATATGTATCAAACTCAAGGACTAAGGGCTAAATGTGGCCCGCCACGGCATTATATGTGGGTCAAAAATGCATTAATGTCTATAAGATAAGCTGCTTTAAAGCCAGCCTTGACCATAAACTACATCTCCCATAATGCATGTTGATTATTTTACTCTCAAAAGAACAACATCCGGCCACTAGGTGGAGGTACACAGGGTTCCAAAGTTGCTTGTAACCGGCAGAATAGCCTATATGCCACGGTCATTAATAACGCATTTCTGGTAAAATTCCGGCCCCACTCCTCCCTTCCACTTCCTGGTTACTTCCATTGTTTTTAGTGTAAGCTCCTAGAACTAGTCCGTGAAAAAGTCACAGAAGTTAAAGCATCTGTGATCTACTGGTATAAAACGTGAGTTCTGTTGTGTGCCGTTGTGTCCACTAAGCAGCAGGTACAATTGAGTTGTTAGTTTTTCTCCTTTTTCCTTTGGATGAGGAGGAAAGGCGCCAGCAATGATGGATCACGGCAATACAGGAACAACTTAGCTATGATATCTCACGCTCGCGTTTGTAATCGGCATTTCTAACCTGAGGATATTCAAGAGTCAGCATCAGAAATGAGAAGACAGAGGTTACAAAAGGAAAATGTACATTTATCCCCTTTTACTGCCAAGACCGTGAGAGAGGAAAGACCACCTCCACAGACAGCTTGCAGGAAGCTAACACAGCAGCCAGTACAAAGGTGTGTGCGCACGTTTGTGTTATATGAAATGTTTTTATGCGACTTTGTCATGAGTTTTATGCAAAAGTAAAAACTTGTTAGAGAGTATATTACAGCGTAAACAAAACCAGAGCAACGAGCCCCACCCCCCCTCCTCCTCAGCACCGAGAGCAGCAAAACCTCCGCCTGATAATCATTACGTTTTCAGTTCACTAACGTAGGGTAAAACGATCCAAACCATACAAGTAGCCCATCAATTTAAAGCCCTGACTCTGCTCTTTCCAACAATATAAGTGTCACAGCTCAACGTGAAAAATTCACCGAACAAGCAGCCAAGGAATAGTGAAAAAGGCTGAATTCTGGAACCATAAACACAAACGTCTTTCCTTTGTTTTTATGGCTTTAATCCACTTTGGAGTGATTTTTTTTCCCTTGGCTGGACCTGTACGTCTACTGTGTTAATGTTGGTACATGTAATATGCCAATTCTGCACTGTGGAGATCATTAAGAGTCAGTGTCGGGTGAAAAAATCTTTCGCTAACACTGTGTTGACCGTGAACCGGAAGTGGTCGGAGTGGCCCCGAGTGCTGGACCGGATATCCGTGGCATATAGGCTATTCGTTGTGTAAAATAACCATTTTGCTGCATTTTGACAGCTACATTTGCTGTGGCCTAGTTGTACTGAGAAGTGGGAATTTCCCACTTACAGGTAAGAAATTTAAAATAGAATGCCCCTCCAATGGGAATTTTCTGTTGGAAAGTGAGAGACGGCAGCTACTCACCACAACTCAACAGTGAGTGACATTCTTATTTTTAATATATAATTACTTACTAACAATAGTATTTCTGTATTATTTATTTTAAATTTAGTCAGTCGTACACATATTACTTTTCAGTGTTTATAAGAGGACGTGTTAAAACACTGTTTCTATGCAGGAAATACCAGGTAGAGCTCAATTAGTGTTTGTGAGCAGTGCTCTTGTGTTTAGTCAAAGTTAAACACAAAACGTTGAAGTTAATGACAACAGATCATTTGAGGGCCACCCTCAAGTACAATGTACCCCTGCATTAAGGGGATGTGGGCACTCAGGGGGGGGGGGGGGTGTTAAATCTCATCTGCAATCTGATTTTCCAATATTCCAGAGGGGTCCTGATCACCTCAGGGTTTCTGTCTATATGCACAGAGTAGAACTGAAAACACTACAACTAAAAGGAATGGTCAGATGGCTGTGTAAAAAGTCCATCGCTGACAATTAGGTGAGAGAATCAATAAAACTGTCTTTCCACACATTTAAAAGCCTACAGCTGAAGCCAGTAATTCTATAAAAACAGCAAACTGATGCATTAGTAACCTGCAGGCACTATTTTATGCCTGCAGGTTACTAATGCATTTTCAGGCAATAACATATAGTGCAGGAAGCTTTCTGGGTTCCATTTGCTGTGTAGTTGTAGTCATACAATTAACAATAGCTCGGTACGGTTGGATTGATCTTTACATAAACGTAAACGTCATCTGCTGGGCAAAAGAGCTGGACAGTCAAAATGCAATTTGTGGTTGCTTTAAGATTTTCAGATTTATTTATGCTCAAAGATGGGCCGTTAAAAGAAAGCTTTCACATGCTGGTGTAGGCTGAGGACATGGACAACTTAACTTGCGAACTGAGAAAGTTAATGTCATCATTGTAGTCATCATCCACACATGGATCTGGAAATACTTTCAGCAAACTTAATCATAACAGAGAAGTATGAGCACAATACTCTAGGGATTTTATTTAACAAAACAACATGTAAAATAGTTTTCCTAAAAGAACAAGCAAACCAATTGTTGTCATTTACTCTAACTGTGAATCTTTCAATGCCACATGCAGTGACTTGTCAGTCAACTAGGGTGGCACCTGGGGTGGCCAGCCAGGTTTCAGAGAGAGCACCTCAGCTACCCCCCTGGCTCCGCCCCTGCTTCCATATAGTTTTAACCAGGATACTTAGAAGTCTGCATAAAAAAAGTAAAATACAAAATGTCTTCATACTTTGTGGACAAATGGTTGTTTTAGGTAGCTAAGAATGAGAGGTTTGTGCTTCGGAACAATACTGCCCCCTGTTGTTGTCACTCATAATGCAATAAAGTAAACCATGTAAATAACAACAACAAAAACAAACAATTAAAGAAGGTCAATATTAGCTAGGCTAAATGTTTATCTGTCTTAGTTTTACCCAGCTAAGCTAAACTAAGCCAATTTATTTATGTTAATTAAACCAAACATTTGTTTCCAAACTTTTCTTGGTAAAACACAATATAGATTTAATTTCTTTGAACTAAAACTGTCCATTCTCACCTGCACAGCGATAGATGGTCTCCACTTCCTGCCCCCACGTCCATCATCCTGCCCCCCAGCTTTACTCAACACAATGCTGTTCTGAGTTACGGAGGTGGACTTCCCCAGGCTGCTGACCACCCTGCTGTCCCTTTCCCTGGCCGGCCTCGGTGGACCCTCCAGCAGGCTGTCAGCCGAGCAGCTGTGTTTGGTCCTCACGCCGACTCCCGGCCCCCCGCCGTAGGGCACCAGCTCCCTCGAACCCCTGACCCCGTCCAGGCTCTCTGCAGAGTTACTGTGCTGTCTGGAGCGCCCGGGCCCGCCGGCCACGTAGTACCCGCCTCTGGAAGTGCGACCCGAGGGTCCCTCGGAGCTCCCGAGGTCCACAGAGTTGCTGTGCTGCTTGGGGCGCCCGGGGCCGGTGCCGGGGCCGGGGCCCAGAGCCATCTGCCCACCGCTCTGAAAGTAGGCATCCTGGGTGGACTCGGTGCTGCTCTGTGCTCGCACCGAGAGAGAAGACTTGGACATGCGAGGCGGGAGTGGGGGGGGAGCACCTTTACGGTAAGGAAAGACTAAAGAGTGAGAAGAGCAAGGAAAAAAGAAGACAGGCAGAGAAGGCAGTTAAAGGTAAACAATTTCTGCAGGGTGGAAACTTACAGAAGGGACAGACTGAGGGGAGAATGAAGCAGAAAAACAAAGAGGATAAAGGGAGAAGCACCACAGGGAGGATGGAGAGAGAAAATAAATGACACAATAAATGACACAAAAATGTATAAACTAAACTTATATCTGAAGATAGGTAAGAAAATAGCTTTCAATATAAATTTCAGTGAGACAGCAGCAAAGTGATGGATATGACAAAGAATACAAGTAAACCTTTAACTTAACCTCTTTAGAACATGAAGCTGAAACCAAATGAGTCATGCCCATTCTTTCTGCATCACTATTTAAATTTATTATTTTCAAAAAATGAATACATCTAACTTCATCTGTGTGTGCACATCAGAATGTGACTACTGTGTAAAGAGCTGGGACATGAAACAATAATTGTCTCTGTCACGATAGACGTGATCAAAAATAATAAAAAATACATCCAATAGAATGCTGATGATTTCACTGAACCCTAATCTAGAACCACAGAGCATTCTGGGGGATAAGATGAGATGAGATGAGATAAGATAAGATAAGATAAGATAAAGATAAGATAAGATAAGATAAATATAAAGATAAGATAAGATAAGATAAGATAAGATAAGATAAGATAAATATNAAGATAAGATAAGATAAGATAAGATAAGATAAGATAAGATAAATATAAAGATAAGATAAGATAAGATAAGATAAGTATAAAGATAAGATAAGATAAGATAAGATAAGATACAATATGACAAGATAAGATAAAGATAAGGTAAGATAAGATAAGATAAGATAAGATATGATAAGATAAACCTTTATTGTCATTGTACAGAGCACAATGAAATTACAGTTCAGAACACCCATTCAGAAGAAGACGTCGGCAGAGAAAGGCTTTAGCTGCTTGACCTCTCACGGTCCACTTCTTTTTTTTTTGTGGATGTTTGTTCACATTATATTTTAAATGCGACCTCCATCAGACTCTAACTCTACAAGGCCTCGATGCAACCTGTGTGCACACATGTGACACATTCAGCTCAATGGCGCTGGAATGGGGGTGGGGGGGGGGGCAGGGGGCCATTGGCCCCCCCACTTTACGGCCCTGCCCATCAGCCGGTCCCACAGACATTTACAGGCTGCATCCAACGCTGACAAGTTATGACGGATGTCTCTCTGTCTAGATACAGACAGAGGCACAGACAAAACCGACAGCATTAAGATCAGGACTAATTCTGTTTATAAGTCATCAGATCCACGTGGCTCGGTTTTATTGAGCAGCGCTCAGCTGATGAAGCTGGAGGCTGGAGTTGATCTACTTGACGTTTCTGTTGGTGAAGTATTCTCCAAAAGGCAGTACAGTTCCTACCTTGTACAATGATGTGAAAATGAGAACAAGGTCTTGATAATAAGTTAATAAAGTATTTAAATGGGGAGCAGTGCGCACATCCCGTGTGGAGAACAGTCGGAGAGTTTACACAAATTCTCCAGCTCTGCAGGGTCGGGCTCTCTGCCTGGCACGTGCAAAAAAGGTTTTGGCTCTGATCTGATCCCATTCGGGTCGACCAAATCAGCTTAAAAATAAAATAAGAATTTTGTATTTTGTGCCACATCTCTGGCTCAAACTTGTGCGCAACATCAGATCTCCAGATGCACGCTGACGGGTTGTGGAGAAAAAATGAAAAAATAAAGGAGCCCATGGTTCTTTACATGTCCGGCTCAAATGTGCACCTATAATTGACCCAGAGCAGATAACTTTTGCTGACAGAGTTGACAAATAATTGCGTGGAGTTTGTCATTATTGTGTCTGTCCAAACGAAGCTGCAGTTTATTGCTGCGCTGCTAACAGGTCGCTTTGGAGAAAATACTGCCAGATGAGGAAATGTGTTATTTTCTTTATTTCCCCCTCAAAATAAAGCTTGTTGTTAACTAAATTACTTAAACTGTTTGCTTTACTCACCATCTCTTGTGTAAAAACAGTGCTCCAGCGCAAGTTTCTGACCCGCTGTTCCAATTATAAGATATTATTTACATTTGTTTAGTCTTTTTCATGGTCATTTATAAAGTAGTTAGATTTACTATGATGATCATTAAAACAACAACAGGTGAAAACTTCATTATTTAATTGTTGCTTGATGATGAGTTGATACAGTTAAAGCTTGATGTGTAAAAACTTCTAATCATTGCTAATTAAATTTAGTAGACCAAATCTGCTTTTATGAGAAAATACAACAAATGATTAACAAAAGCAGGCTAACGTCCCTCCTTTTTCTCAGAAAACGTGCTGCAAATTCTAACACTTGTGTCGACATTGATTCAGGAAATTAATGTCCGCTCTATTCAAATTTATGCTCACAAGCAGCAGCTGATGAACTGAAAAATATCTAAAAAAAAAATTAAACTAAACATCTTATCCATGACTGCAGTTTGTTTTATTTATTTTTTTCATTTTCAAAAGAAAGACTTTACAGTACGCAATGAAATTACCATGTGGCAAGACTTAACGTCTGCCCCTGACATTCAGAGCGCGTACGAACAGAGAGCACATTCTCATGTCGGACTCGTCAACATTTTGACACTTGGGCAGGGACCGTCTGCGTCCAGTTTTGACGCACCGGGTACCCCCGGGTACCCCCCGCGCGTCCATCCTTGCCGGCTGTGGCTTACGACCCCCCACCTCCTCGAGAAATGAATCCGGCACCGCTGATTCAGCTCACTGTTTACAGGAGTAACCTACGGATGCTACATGTTAGCATGTTGATTCTGAAGTTGTGCAATCAGAGCCGATCAAACCATTATCTAACATGCTTGTTTAGGTCTTGTTTACATTTGAAATTGCCTCTTGCCGGCTCGCACGCATTTATGGAATAGGAGCAATGTGCTGAAAGTAAAGTATCGATCCAGTAATTTTAGTACTGACACGTCTGAGACTGATTTTTACTATGTTTTTGTGGATTCTCAGTCATCCAGGACATGGGAAATTAAAAGAACAAAAGTTAAGCAAATGGACTTCTGTTCTGTAGCTGAAGATGTGCGGAGCTACACGATTTAAATTGCACAAGGTTGGTATCAGTATTCTAAACACTTGAATCGATCTGCCCCACCTCACTGAAGTAAATGTAAAACATCAGGTTTGTATCCGATTTAGCACAACATACTAAAAAAGACCTGGGTCGGATTTGGTTTGCCTTTTGTCTGCATTGTGAACGTAGCCTTCACCCACTCTTTGTTAAGCTAGTAACAACCTGCTGAGTAACATGCGCAGTAGCAGTGTCATGTCTCACCACCGAGCCTCATAATTGCTTAAGATTAAAAAAGAATGATGTGGAATGAAAGGAGAAAATGGGTGCAACGGTTGGATTAGTCAGCCTTTTTTCCTTCTTCCTTATTTCAAACAGGTAAAACAAAATCGACTAATAAAAAATGGTTATATCAGGATACATTTTTCAGCCATGTTGCCGTACTACTACTGTGCCTGTGTTTCTGATTCTGTGTACATACAGAATCATGTACATATAGATATTCTGTTATATGCAGGGCATTGCAGTTATTAGGATTCATTATTGTAAAGGACCATCATTATTGGACTTCAGAAAAAGAGAGTGAGACAAAGACACCAAAGCAGGAGGAGGGACACGGATCGGTTATCGTCATAATCATGAGTGTTGCCGTTCCCATTACCGAGCCAGAAACCTGCAATCAGAAACTGGAGGCAGAGATCAGATGCAACAAGAGCAGAGGTGAAGGAGAACAAAGAGCATGAGCAATAACACCTGGGCAAGTCTGCGCCTACGGCTCGCAAACATTAACACATACGAAGTGAAAGAGCGAGATCATTAGAATCTGAGAGAATGGGGAAGCAGAAAGGCTAAAGTTAAAAATGGATGCACACGGCGCGCAGCTGTGCAGCGAGAGTGGATGTGTTAGGGTTTGTTTTTTTGTTAAGACAAACTGACAGGCTGTCATCAGATTCCCTGTCCCAGTGTCCTTCCCATCACACATGCAGACAGCCTGCAGGCGGACTAGACTACACACTCACCGGCCCCACCCTTGACGCTTCCTTGGGGGCCCGACATGGAGAAGACCGAGAGGCAGTCGTCGTCCTGGGAGCAGCCGGCCTGGATGGCGCGCACGTAGCTGTGGCTGCGAGTGCGGAACACGCCTGGAAGATCCAGAGCCTCGACGGCTTGGGACTCCACCTCCCCGAACATGGTTTCACACACCGCCTCGAACTGATGGTTCAGCGTGTCTCCTAGCTGAAAAAAAAAAAGTTGGAGCATGAACCCGCATCGTGCAGGATATAAAACATCCTATTCCTAAATAAAAATATAATTGTCATGTTACCTGTGAGCTGGTCAAAGAGCGGGTGTAACTGCGAGAGCGAGCATGAGCTTTTGGTGCCGTTCGGCTGTTGGGGTAAGAATCTGTGCACTGCTTACACGAGTACCTGGAAGTATCAGACAATCAGTGTGAAGGTCAGTGAGTCAATCCTAAATATCAACTTCCAACTCTGCTTAAACCTTAAATTATTCATGCATAAGTACATAAATAAAAAGAGATTTCAAAGCAATACACAGTTTCACAGGTTTATACAGTGGGTAAAATAAGTATTGAATACGTCACCATTTTCCTCAGTAAATATATTACTAGAGGTGCTAATGACATGAAATTTTCACCAGATGTCGGTAACAACCCAAGTGATCCATACATACAAAGAAATCAAACCATAAATGTTCAGAAATGAAGTTACTGTATTTGTAATAATGTGGAAT